GTATGGTGCTAAGAATGGCGATACTCACTGACGATGCTGACTACGATGCCGGCGAAACGTTTGGGAATGTACCACTTCTATGGTTCAACTTTGGAAATGATCATGCATACAATGGACTCCGGACTAGGTGCGTTCTTCTGAGTTTTCTTACCAATATGACTAAGTTGCGAAAACAAGGTCAAACAAACTCTATACAACGAAAGGAGACTGCGAACCCACAAAAAGGCCACACCATCTTGTTCTTCATACTTTCGATTAATCTTGCAGGTTAGGCAAGTGTGGGTGAAGTTAGAACCATCACTGAGCGGAAAAGTTGAGTCGCCTTCTTTTGGATGACGGCACAACATCCTCTCTCTCTCTCTCCTTCGATCTTTCAATCAAGCAAAAGTAGTTCTTACTCAACTTTATATTATCGTTCCTCACAGTCAACATATTTTCTAATCTATTAATTTCACTCGTCTTCCTTTTAACAGGAGACTTACTATAATAAGCAAACCTACACGTTTGAAACCATTCTATCTAGTGTCCAGTCTCTGGCATATATTCAGCCATTTTGGACCGTTGGACTCAACCGAATTTACAAAAAGTCTTGTTTTCACTTAATCATTGGCGAATAGGCTGACATAACTCACCAACATAGGGTTGACCACAGAAGCACAAAGAATGGGTCCAGCACTGATGATGTGCACAATATGAAGGACAAAACTTGGCTTGATGTTGGAGTACCTTTTATTTCGTTTGAAGAGGAGAATGTAGAGGATTCGATAGTTGCTTCTACCGGAGGTTGTGTGGAGTTGCCTTGGAGCTGTGGTTGTAGATTTGTGAGAATAGATCCTCTGCGCACCGCTCTGCGACTCCGATGAATTCTTGCTGAGCTTTCGTCCGTCATGTGACGGAAATCGTCAGAGCAGGACACCATGCTTAACGATAATTCACCAAAAATACGGGGGCAAGAAAGGTAACCGGCTTCAAACATACTTCCTTATATTCCAATTTGGTCCACTTGGACATTTCATGTTTTGGTTGGATGTTCTATGCTTTGCCTCTATATTTGCTCATAAGTTAAGATAAGTGGCTGCGTAGGACATGTAAAGTGGCTACAGATGAAGTGTGAAATGGGTGCAAGTGAAACCGAACAGCTGGATCCTCCCATGCACGTATGCCTTTGATCCTGCAATGTTATCGCATGTGATTGCGTCCCATTGCACTTGTGTTGTGTGAGTTCATTACTCTTGAAATGAGTGAGATGTGAGAGTCAAAATCAAATTCCAGCCTAATCAAGCCTCCTTCTCTTGCTCAGTGCTACTTTTCGTTCTTCCCTCCAACAGCCTCAATTAGTTTCCGCTTAACTTCTTACCTCATTACTTCTATTCAGAACGTTGGATGTTTTGTTAATTTTTATCGCCTCCCCAATCTTTCGCTTATTGATATAGTCTTCATATCCACCTATATTGCCGAATGCATAAAGGACAAATTAGAAGAAAATTTCAAGGTGTCACCGCTGCAACCAAGAGTTATTATACGGTACCTACTTTGCAATATGGTCGCATGGAAGAGAATAGTTGGAGGATTTCCTGGAGTTTATGAAGGGGATTGGTGAAAAAATCAAATTCTCAATATATCTAGAGGAAGAGGGGCGTTTGGCCTTCCTAGATGTGGAGGAGCAGTGGTAGTTATCAATAGGTTGAGCTATGCAGAAGAAATGATGCAGGCTTCGGAAACCCTTAAGTGGTTGCATGCAGCATTGTGTAACAAACGGGGAACTGGAGAAGGGGGAGATGAACACGCTTATTGAACGAGATGCTAGGCCTCCTAATGCACATGGTCTGCCCAAAATACATAAAGATAGAGTGCCACTTATAATTATTGAAAATAATAAGTGAAGCGTGACGCATAAAACATCACGATTTATTTGTAACCAGTTAAAGCAAATCTCCAATACATGGAAGGTTTCAGTTAAGATTTATTATGAATTCGTTAACTTAGTCGACGAGCAGGAGATAGAAAGTGGGGATTTGCTGGTAAGTTTTGATGTTGAATCTATGCACACTAGCATCCCTGTAGATGATGCCATACGGGCCATACAATCCACACTAGACCAACATGCGGAGAGATTAATGAGCAGGAAGTTAAGTAAAGTGTCAATAATGATACTGACCGACTGTACATATTTTACCTTTACTGGTAAACTGTACGAACAAACAGGAGGTTTAGCTATGGTATCGTGTTTGTCACCAATTTTAGCTAATAATTAAATGGCTCAATTTGAGGAACGCTTAACTCAGATTGCACTTTTTGTTCTCAAATTATTAGTTCGCTATATGGACGACTACTTTGGTATTTGGACATATGGAAAAGAAAACCTGGAGAATTGTCTTGGTTTGATAAACAGGATCGATGGGAAGACGAAATTCACCATCGAGTTAGAAAAGGAAGGTGGTTTACCTTTTCTTGATGTCCACGTTAGCAAAGAGGGGGACAGATTAGGTCGAGATGTGTATAGGGAACCCACAAATGTAGGTTTCCTTTTGAGTTTCTTCTCCAACCACATTTATGGGGTTGAAGTAGGAGTGATGTAGTCTATGTTTATAAGGAGCATGTGTCTGGCAGATAGTAAACTTCGGGACCAGGAACTGAGGAGACTAAGACGAATTTGGGTTGAGAATAATTATCCACGGGGGCTGGTTGACAACTATTTTAGAGCATTGTCAAATAAAATGAAGGGAAATACATAATTGGGGTTAGATAACACGATAGATCACTCTACCAGGATATTCGTGCTGTCATCGTATAATCTATCGAAGAAGATATGTGAATTACTGAGGAGGTGGGACATACGGACCATTTATAAAGAGAAAATAACATTAAAGATATGGAGACCAAGATTTTGTGGCCTCTGGTTTGGACGTAGTCTCCTTTCGATTTATAGAAGTGGGTTGACCTCGTTGTCGCAACTTGGTCTTGGGGTCAGGGAGACTA